TGAACAGGAAAGGAGTGACTCTAAACACAAACTACCTGAAAGGCAAAGAAAAGGTTAAGAAACTCTCCCACATCCACAAGACAAAAAGAGTGGAAATGTATAAGCAAGGATAAATTCTTAGTGGAGGAAGTAATAGCCAGTGAACGACAACAAAGATCTGACCATTTCCCTTGGCTGCCAGGGGGGAAATAAAATGCACTTAAAGCTAGAAGACAATATTTCTTTTGCTGTTTATTCTGAGTGCCAGCGCTTAACCTACTCTGGTGCCACCCAAAGCAGTGTTGACCATTTTCCACTCAAATCAATCAACACATAGAGGCCAGGAGCTCCCCTGACATTCAGGAGAGAGAAGAGAACGGGTTGAAGGCTGAGGGGAGGCGTAAGGATGTGAATCCTGGCAGCATGTTTTTTGAGCATGGCTTAAACCCCAAAGTGCTTCATGGTTCTGCTGTCTTCCCTTTTGCCCAGCCAGCTGTGACAATGAACACAACCATTCCACTCTGGGGTGGTGTGTCCAGCTTCTGGAAATGCCTGTCAAGTCACTCTCTGACCACTGAGAGATTTCAACTGGAGCTCTTCCCTCATCGGAGCTGCTGCTGTCAGAAGTCTGGCCTGTGACTGACTGACCTTCCCTGGGAGATAATTTTAAAAGCAAGTGACTTTTTCCATTCTGAGTCTGTTTCTCTTTTGTAAATAACTTCAGCTGTCTTGTTTTCTTTTTAGATTCCACATACAGTTGATGTCATGTTATATTTGTCTTCCTCTCTCTGACTTACTTCATTTAGTATGACAATCTCTAGTTTCATCAATGATGCTACAAATGGCATTATTTTAAAATCTTTTTTATGGCTGAATAGTATTCCATTGTATATATATGCCACATTATATTAAGTGAACTCAGTCAGAGGATGATGAATGTTGTATGATACCAATTTTTAGATGGAATCTAAAAAATTATACAAATACTTACAAAACAGAAACTTACTCACAGACACAGAATACAAACTTATGGTTACCAAAGGGGAAAGGCTGGGGGAGGGATAAATTAGGAGTATGGGATTAACAGATACACAGTACTGTATATAAAATAAACAACAAGGATTTACCGTACAACATCGGGAACTATAGTCAATATCTTGTAAACATATAAAAGGAAAAGATTCTGAAAAGGAATATATAATATATATTCAGATATATATATGTATCGGAATCACTTTGTTGTACACCTGAAACTAACACAATATTGCAAATCAATGATACTTCACTTAAAAAATAAAGAAAGCAAATGACTGTAAACAAAAGTTTATCTGGATCTTATACATTCCTCAGGGGCTATTTTAAATGAAATTCTGGCTACCCAGGTGAGCTTTCTCCCAGGAATCCAAGTCCTAGGGAAAGTCTGATAATTATTACCTGAAATGATTTGCCTAAGGTAGGCACTAACAAAAGCACAGCAGCAATGAGCGATGTTTTTGGCTGAGGAAATGGCAGGTTTTCATTTAACCCTTAAAGGTTCACATCTGTTTCTGCCACACTGAGGGATGTAACCGTAGTTTACAGGGATTCAAAAATTATGCAGTAATTCTACAGCCTCAGAGTAGCCTGAAGATTTCTTCTGAGAGTCACACGTAACAGGGAGAGTTACATTACACTCAGCCTGTAGGCATACTGGCTAAGCATTTGTTATGTATTTACACTGATCCTTGCAATAATCCTAAAATGCACGTAACATTTTTATCCCCATGTTACTGGCAAGGAAACTGGGGTTCAGCAAGGTCAAATAGTTTGCTCAAGGTCAGCTACTCAGTGACTCAGTGTGCACCTTTAATCCCTAAGTTACATTGCCTCCCTATGTGAAGTTTTCCCAGAAAAAATAAATTAAGTATGTTTGATGTGATTCTTCAGGTAAGTTTCAAATTTTCTGTTTCATTCAAACACTTCCTTTATGCTTTTATCTCCCAGGTTGCTTTTGGGGATTTGATTCCCCGTCATCACCTAAGAAGAAATAAAAGGAAATACAATTTAACCACATGGATTCTCTTTGCTTCTGGTATTAATCAATGTTCAAGGAAGCTGTCCCAAGTGGCTAAAGTAAATCTCAGGGAATTGCCAGATTCCTACTGCACGTCCCTCTCAACTACCATCATAGATAATAAATACAAGAACTATTTTCTTTTTAAATTGGAGATAATCTTTTGAGGATAGCTGTTGATCCAAACAATCTGTTTCTTTTTTCTTTTTTTAATTAAGTTATAGTCAGTTTTCAATGTTGTGTCAGTTTCTGGTGTACAGCACAATTCTTCAGTCATAAATGAATATACATGCATTCATTTTCACATTGTTTTTCACCATAAGCTACTACAAGATCTTGAATATATTTCCCTGTGTTATATACAATAGAATACTACTCAGCCATAAAAATGACAACATAATGCCACTTGCAACAACATGGATGTCCCTAGAGAATGTCATTCTAAGTGAAGTAAGCAAGAAAGAGATAGAAAAATGCCAGTCAGTTTCTTCATGAAAGCCAGATTCCTGTGTTGAAGACCATTACATGTTGAGTTATCTGGGGAAAGGAAGTTTTCCCTTGATGAATGATGCAATAAATGGTAATCTGCTGTGAAAAAACTGGGCTCAGTTAGTTCTGGAGATCCCTGAGATAACTGAAACAGAAAAAGTAAATCTACATCTTATTTCACATTCAGAGTTAAGTCACTTGAGTCCTCTGTGCATGTCTCTGCAAGAGGTAATGGGGCTCATCGGCTGTCAATCCCTCTGACACAGATAAAGATCCATCTTCTACCTTTCAAAAGGACTTATAATGGGGCAGGGTGTAGCTCAAGTGGTAGAGCACATGCTTAGTATGCATGAGGTCCTGGGTTCAATCCCCAGTAACTCCTCTAAGAATAAGTAAGTAAATAAACCAAACTACCTCCCCCAACCACCCTCCCCACCATCCAGAAAAAAAGGACTTATAAATTAGAGGCAGGCAACTTACAGTGAAAGCAAGCAGACAGTTCCCTGATCAGGTGAAAAACACACACACACACAGAGTTTATACATTACAATCTTATGAGGACAAAATTTAAATGGATAGAAAAATAATGGTGTAGGGTCTGGAATACCAAAATATAATTTTTACCAGGTGTGGGAGGAATAAACTCCAATTATTCAACAGAACATTATGTATAGCCCAAATCTATACTTTTTCATGTATCTGCTGTGAAAATGCCTTCTTGTTTGGCCAAGGCAAACAAGTTTTTTAATACATCTTTCTCAATCACCATTAATTAATTTTTATCTCCACCCATTAATTCTCAACACTGCAAAAGAAAGAGTAATTCACTAAAAGCCAGAATTTATTAAAATTCCAATCATTTAATTCAATTAATACAATTCAATTAATACATAAATGACTTCAAAGCTAATCAACTAAGGGACTCGGAAGCAAATTAAGCCAAAATGAATGAGATTAGGTGTCAGAAGTGAGAAAACTTTCAGCACTTTTCTCATCACACTTCACTCGCCAGGCCTCTGATCTGTTATCTTTTAGGTTTTCCTTGTCCTCTTTCACTGAAATATATAACATGTTAAGTCACAAAGTATTACCTTTTTTTTTCATTTTTTTCTAACCTAAAGCTCCTTTCTATTAGGTTTTATTAGGCTTTTGAGGCCACTTTGTTCACACAAACATCAGTATTTACACTCACTATTTTCTAATACTTAAATCTTAGAGGTTGATCA